CACATTGTTGACAGTAAAATTAAACGACATAAAACTTGCTGCTATAACACATTGTTGACAGTAATATTAAACGACATAAAACTTGCTGCTATAACACATTGTTGACAGTAAAATTAAACGACATAAAACTTGCTGCTATAACACATTGTTGACAGTAATATTAAACCACATAAAACTTGCTGCTATAACACATTGTTGACAGTAAAATTAAACGACATAAAACTTGCTGCTATAACACTCGTTGTGTCTTATGTATTTTTAGTGATAATTGTTTTACAACAAACCGTAAAAACACAACTTTTGTTAACATCTTAGAGAGTAAACCAATGTAACGTAAAGGTGTTAATGACTAAGTTATACCCTCCATTAATGTATTGAAGAAGTAGAATTTTGTCTTGAACAGAGAAAGGAAGACGTCCGGTCATGGCTGGCTAGACCGATACACGATATCTCTTCTATCGGGGGTAAGTAGACAAGTTACTATCTAACATTAGTTACATAAGTTAAGCCTAAACTGTGTTGTACATGACGTCTGTATGCTCTGGGGTAAACAACTAAGTTCTTACTGACTTTAATTATTCAAATAAAGATCAGACTGAGGTTCCCTGGCCCTGTTTTGTGTTTTCAGCGGTATGATAATCTTGTAGTGTCCTTTTCACTATCAACAGTATGTTTATTAGTTCTATCTGTCCCCTTTTCTTATTGGCCACTCACAAAACCTCCAACAGTACAATATTACCCGTTTCAATCAAATCACGTACATGATTTAGGCCTAGCGGTTAATCTGCTGGGCTGTGTATCGGAAGTTCCAAGGTTCGAGGTGCTGTTGAACACTTTCAACTTTATAAAGACGGTTGTCAATCCTATTAGAGTTAAGAGTAGATGCGCAGATAAACGACGCTGTTGACTGGTTGCCCTCCTCCTGGTCAACAGTCTTAAACCAAGGATGGACTTGACTCAACCTTGGAGTCTCTGATTTGTTCTTTTAGTGCAAGATTTAACAATTTGAAACACACACACACACACACAAGGAAGCCAAAAACAAAAGTTGGACATAATAATACAGTTTACTTATTATTCTCAATAATCTGGTTAATAATACTCTTTCATTAGGAGCAACAATCTTTACACAACCGACTACAGATGGCGTGCGCTAAGTTTTCAGATGTATATAGGTTGATCCGGGTTTAAACACCATATTTGTTTGATTTCATTTTTTATTTTTACATGTCAGGCTTGAGAATAGAGGTTAAATCACTATGTTGTTCCTAATTCTTGGATACCTTTCATACTATCTGCGCTAGTCCTCCCTAATTTTGGGCTACAGACTAAAAGGGAATGCACGCTTGGTGTACCGTCTTTTCTGTGGAACGTTTTATAGAAAATTTGTTTTATTATATAAATGCTTTTCTATTCTCTATTTTCCTGTGATGTTAACATTGATATAACTTTCAGGTGATCTCTATAAATAAACTAAAGATTGTCCGACGCATAAGTACTTTCTAAAATCGCCAAGTAATTAACTGCCTCTCTTATAACTCGCTCACAGCTTAAAATACGGTATTGTGCGAATTCGATATTGAGAGCTCTACAGTAAGGCCGCGTCTTATAGGAAATGGTACAGCTAAGCATCTTCAGTCACTGAATTAATATAGTTCTAAAGATATATATATACGCTTTTTAAAACATGGGAAAGGAGACTCCGGACTCCACTCCGCGCTGAAACAGCACATTATTTTCAAAACGTGTTATATACACTCTTGTATTCGGAATACAGACAGCTGCAGACGTTTAGAAACAGAAACTGGGTCATCTATTTTTGTTGTTTGACCACAATTATTGGGAAAATATTACATACATAGTGTAAACAAGGTATTTTACAAATTTTGAGTATAGGCTAGTTTAAATGATGGATTTCAGATCCCACATTCTAAATGTATTTATTATCGATTATGTGATGTTTAGTTATTAAACATATTTCTTGTTTTCGACTTTAACCGACGTGAAACAGCGTTTCCTTGTATCATGTTTTGTTTTGGGCTGCAAACATGTGTTATAGTAACAAGTTTTATATCGTTTAATTTTACTGTCAACAATCTTCCATACATTACACAGCATACTGAACCATCAATGGTTCTAATCCACTAAAACCCCAAGTACTTAACACCTTTACCGTTCAGTATCTTGTCGGTATCATGTCAGTATCTTGTCGGTATCATGTCAGTATCTTGTCGGTATCATGCTATATACTTGGAGTTAAACTAAACACCAACCTACCTATCAGTATAGCTAATCAGATATACTTGTCTTACGTTTCTAATAATACAGATTAGAATGAATTGTTTCACCATTTAAGCACTATCGTTCTTAACGATACTTTCGGCCGTAAACCCAATAATATCTTATATAGCGTCCCATACAAACAGTGGATGTTTGATTTTGCTTGTTTGTGTTAAGTATACGTGATCTACCCATTACGGGTATAGAATACCGATTTTTTGTGTCGTAAGCCACTGGGGGGGGGGGGGTGGCCATAGAAATATGCAAAAAAAAAGAGTTACCAATAGTTCGAGAGAGATAGGTAGTTATACAACAACTTATGGAATATATTATGATTTTTTTTTAAAGTTCTTGTAAGTTTCAGCTATTTTTGATTAGTGTACTAACAAAATCTGCTGATTGGTGCCATGAATGTTCAACTTTGTTTGAAGGAGGGGGGGTAGTAGGAAAAAGTAACAAATGCCTGAGAAGCCTAATTTTTTTTACTGTATTGATCCCTGTCAAGATACTTTGATTGATGGTTTTAGCGTAAAGTTACACAATCGGCTATCCGCTCTCTGGCCACCAGGGGAAATTGAACTCTGGATTATAACGTTGTAGATCCGTAAACTTAGCGCTGACATACAAGGGGGCGCCACGGTATTATTTTTGTAATTGTTAGCCCACAAAATTGATGAGCAGATATTTACTTAGAATACACGAAGTTTCATCAAATGGCACCATAAAATCAGAGCGAGGAAGGCACCACTTCTGTTCCATGGATTAAGCGCCTTTAATTGGAGCCTAAGAACATTTATCTATTTTAATTGGTTCGCTAAAGAAATTCTTCCGAATGCTGCATTCAAATATCAATGTTCGAAATGAGTCCTTGTTTCGTCCACGTTAAGATTATTTTAATAACGTTTAGTTTTCATTGATGACGCTTGGTGACGTCACACTTGTGTGTCGTTCATTAAACTGTCTACTTCTATATACATAACCTACCGGCTGTTTTATAGCGCTGGTAAAAAACCCACTCGATAGTGTTAACTTCATACTTAAGATTTCACGCCTGTTAATTCTATTATTAACGTCAAAATTAATGTAGTGTTAACTCAGGTTCTCCACTTAAGACGTTGTCAGGTCGTGTGACCCACGCCTATTAATTCAATTTCCATTCAGACTGAAAAAGTCAAATGTTCTTTATAAACTCTGTTTTTCTTGACTACCTGTGTGAAATATTGAAAACAATGTATAAAAAATATTTAAATGTTTCAGGAACGGTGATCTACAAAATTCACTTGTGTAGTGGTGCCACAGTTTTTTTAAAAAGGGGATTAAGGACAGATGACGCTCTAATAAAACGAATCGATAAAGAAGCCACTAGATTAGAGAATTAAAACTATTATCGTTTAGTCTCTTGCTCTGATCGGAAGTCATTATTAGCTATACTGATAGATAGGTTGGTGTTTAGTTT